GGGCAATGACCTTCACCCTCTGGGGCGCTTTCCTATCTGCCCCTGTGCAATTGGCAAACCATACAGAGTAAGTTAAGATACTCTCTATGGTGCAGCGGGAGAAGGTCACCAGCAGTTTTCCATTCAGTTGTAGGGTCTCCTGCATTTGGGGGGGGGAGGGTTGGACTAAATGACCTACAAGGTCCCTTCCAACGCTGGTGAGCCCAGCCAAGCAGGGAGCCTGGACAGCCCTCCAGCAGGGAGGGAGGGAGGGAGGGATGAAGTCACTCCTGCCCTGGTCATCTCCTGTTTGGACAACAGGTAGTCCTCAACTTACGATTGCAATTGAGCCCCGACGTTCCTGCTGCTAAACGAGACGGTTAAGTGAGTTTCCCCCGCCCCCCGCCCATTTTACAACCTATCGGACTCATCAGGATGAGCGAGCTACAAGGGACCTTGGAGGTCTTCTAGTCCAGCCCCTTGCTCAAGCAGGACAACCTATATGGCTTCAGATGAGCGACCTTTCTTGCCACTGACGTGAGCTCTACACGGTTGTTAAGTGAAACCGGATTCCACACCGACGTTGCTTGTCAGCCGGTCGCCAAAGGGAATCCCGTAACCCGGGGACCATCAGTAGTCCCCAACTTACTGTTGTGGTTCTCCAGCAGCAGGTGAGGATGGCTGAGGCCTGGGAGGGCGAGGACTCGGATGTGGGGCCTGTGTGTAATGCAGGGATGGGGCCAGGACCATCAGGGAGCGGAGTGCGGCCTTTGGAGATTGTGGAGGTTGGCAGCAGTGAGGAAGAGTCCCCCGAGGAGCCTGTGCCAAGTGTGCGTGCATGCAGGACTCCTCGAAGGAAAGAGCAGCTGCAGCAGCACAGGCGACTTGGGAGTAAGGCTGCAAGGTGATGGCTCCTCCCTTAAGGGATAAAAGCCAGCGGAGAAAACGGAGTTCTGTGCAGGAAGCAAAGAAGTTTTTGCCCTCAAGCCTTGTGGACATTTGGATTCTCTTAGTTTGTGTTTGAAGACTCTTTGATTCATTGTTTAGCAACTTTATCTGGTGTTCTTAGCAGCCTTGCCAAAACTTGGCAAGGCTTTTTCTTATCGGAGCTAATTAGTTTGGAAGTAGCCTCTTATCTGTGAAGGAACGGGATTCGTAAAGGAAACATTGAAAGGTTTTGCTGTTACTTTGTCTCGTGTTGGCTTCCTTGGAACCAGGTTTGGGTCAGAACACTTACAACGATTCACGTAGTGATCATTCAAAGTTACAACATCATTGGGAAAAAAATGACTGATGGCCGTTTTGTTCACATTTACGTCCATCGCAGCATTCCTGCGATCAAAATTCAGGCGCTTGACCCTCGACTCCTATTTATAATGGTCGCAGCGTCTCGGAGACCCCGCGATCCCCTTTTGCAACCCTTCTGACCAGCAAAAAAGCCCAAGGGGAATCCAGATTCGCTCAATTGTCCGTGGGACTAACTTAACGACTGCCGTGATTCATTTAACAACGGTGGCCCGAAAGGCTGTAAAAGGGAGCAAAACTCACTTAACAAATGTCTCACTTAGCAGCATAGATTTTGAGGTCAATTGTGGTCCTGAGCTGAGGACTACCATGGACCTGAATTTGGTCATAATATGTGTCATACCCGTTAGAATCTGACTCCGAGGGAGAGGAGGAACAGCCAACAGGGAGTGGGAGTGTGGCTCCAGAGGTTGTGAAGGAAACTGGGGGAGGGCACAGGCCGGCTGGGCAGTCAGAGGAAGACCCAGGCCCACCCCGTCTTCGTCCTAGGGAATGCAGGGAGGAGAGGATAAGGGAGAAATGTGAATGGAATGGTCTATGGGGGAGGAAGAGGCCCTGATCCCCTTCATGGGCTGCAGCTGTGAGAACTGTTTAAAAGGACAAACTGCGCATGGCCCAGTGCTGGAAGCAAAGCATGAAATAATTCTAGTCTGTCTGTTCTTATCTCAGTTCTGGCGTCCTTCCCAGTGTGTATATTTCGATATCTGTGGACGTCTTCAAGCCGTTATCCTGCCTGGTCTCATTAATTGCTTCCGTGTGGTTTGTGTTGTTGTTTTACTATTTATAATTTAAATGTATGTTGAGTTTGAATGGAATTTCTTCCTTTTCGCAACTGTTTGTGGGGGAGTTTTTTTCTCCAGTCAATGATAATCGGACCTTTGAAGCCAAGTTGAAGGAATTGAAGGGACTTCACCTGTTTTTGTGACTTTCTTGCTTTTGTATCCCACCCTGGGTCCTCACAATATGCCAGTATGATTGTCAACTCATAAAACATTTCTATGCCTGTTTTCTAGTTGCCGTAAACAAGGGAGTAGACAAATCTGAAGGAGTAGCCCTTGGCAGTTTAAAACCAGAAGTATATTCCACGCTTAACTTGCAAAGATTGTAGCCAGGCTACCGGATCTTACTGCCCACACAAAAATCCTCCATTGGAGAATGTGATTGATGACACCCAGCCTGTGAATGTGCTTCATTGGAGAATCCGATTTATGACACACCCAGGGGGGAAGGGGAGAAACAGGGTCAAAGGTGGCTGTAAATTACGTAGGCCAGAGTTGGCTGCATTTAGGTCAATGCCGGCATGTTGATCCTAATAAACCTTTTGAGTTTTTTTTGAAGCTTGGCGCGGGGCTCATGATTTAATTAGGGCAGTGGTGGCTAACCTTTTTGGGCTCCTGTGCCAAAAAGTGTGCGCGCGCTTGTGCACTTGCATGCCAGCACCTAGAAGGCAATGTATGCGCCAACCCCATTGCCTGCACTGCGCTTCCCAGCTGATTTTTGGTCCGTTTGAGGCCTTTTTGGCCTTCCAGAGGCTTCAGGAAAACGGGACTATTATTTGGCCTGCAAAGCCTGCAGAGGCTTTTTTCAAGCCTCTGGGAGGCCCCAAAAGGCCTTAAACAGGCCGAAAATCCGTTGTGAGGCACACGCATGCGCAGTGAGGTCAGTTTGCCTTGGCTCGCACACCGGCACAAATGGCTCTGGGTGCCACCTGTGGCATGCGTGCCAGAGGTTCGCCATCATGGAATTAGTGCAATTGCCGGAACCCTGACACTGGAATAAAGTTATTCCTTGAAGGAATCCACCTGCCTCGGAGTTTTTGCTTGCAACGGATCTATTCCCTGGAACCCTGACATCCTGTTGTGCGAAAGGCTCGAGACTCCGAAAGTAGAACCCACCTGGATCCTCTCTGGGGCTTTCTGAGTGCAGAGCATCATCTTGCTGAAGACCAGGGCGGTGATTTGGCCCCCGATGAAGTGCTGGATGCACATGCTCACCACCGCGGCCACTGCAATGAGAGGCCAACCCGGTCAGCCCAGGCGCAGGACGGGTGAGAAGCAGCTCCTCGACTTGGAGCAACAAGGAAGAGCTGCAGCTCTGAAGCGGGAAAGGTAGCACCCCACCCAGTGATAAGACGGGACAGCGATTCCCAACTTCGCTGCTCATCCAATGCATCTCTTACTGCCACACACACCCTAACCCTGAACAGCGGACAAACAGTCTGGCCTGCTGGCCTACCTCATACCCCAGTCTCATTTTCCCGCGCGCTTGGGGTCTTTCCAATACAAACCAAGATGGCTGCCTCTTTCCTCCTCTCCCACTTTCGGATCAACCTCCCCACGTTCTGCATCTTTCTTCTTCCCAAGTGGGACCTGGGGACCGGCTGGTTCTGACCGGTTCTGCAGAACCGGTAGTGGAAATTTCGGAGTCGTTCGGAGAACCGGACGATCCCGCCTCTGAGTGGCCCCGGCAACCCCCCATCTCTTCTCTGCCTCCCGTGGAGTCCCAGCTGATTGGCTGGGTCTCCTTGGGTTGCCCTGCACAGGAGGACGGAGCTGGAAAGCAGGTCAGTGGGGTGGGGAGGGAAGGTGTTTTTTTTGCAGTATAGCCTTCCCCTGCCACGCCCACCAAGCCACGCCCACAGAATGGGTAGTAAAAAAATTGGAATCCCACCACTGATGTAGATAGATAGACAGACAGACAGACAGACAGACAGACAGACAGATAAATATAGATGATAGATGATAGATAGATATAGATAAATAGATGATAGATAGATAGATAGATAGATAGATAGATAGATAGACAAATATAGATGATTGATAGATATAGATAGATAGATAGATAGATAGATAGATAGATAGACAGACAGACAGACAGATAAATATAGATGATAGATGATAGATAGATATAGATAAAATAGATAGATAGATAGATAGATAGATAGACAAATATAGATGATAGATAGATATAGATAGATAGATAGATAGATAGATAGATAGATAGACAGATAGATAAATATAGATGATAGATGATAGATAGATATAGATAGATAGATAGATAGATAGATAGATAGATAGATAGACAGACAAATATAGATGATAGATAGAGATAGATAGATAGATAGATAGACAGACAGACAAGACAGACAGATAGATAAATATAGATGATAGATGATAGATAGATATAGATAAATAGATAGATAGATAGATAGACAAATATAGATGATAGATAGATAGATAGATAGATAGATAGATAGATAGATAGATAGATAGACAAATATAGATGATAGATAGAGATAGATAGATAGATAGATATAGATAGACAGACAAATATAGATGATAGATGATAGATAGATATAGATA